GATCCAGGGTCGCCCTTCCAGCAACCCATCTCTGGGAAACATCCACACACACATTTACACACACTCATACTCGTACACAATGGACAATTTAGCTAACCCAATTCACCTGTACCGCATGTCTTTGGACTGTGGGGGAAACCAGAGCACCCAGAGGAAACCCGCGCAAACGCAGGGAGAACATGCAAACTCCACACAGAAACGCCAACTGAGCCGAGGATCAACCCAGCGACCTTCTTGCTGTGAGGCGATAGCACTGCCTACTGCGTCATTGCTTCGCCTTTTTTTGGTTCTGTTTAACTTAATTTTATATCGTTTTGTTTTTTGTTTTGCTTTGTTTTATTTTGTTGTTTTGTTTTGTTTTGTTTTGTTTAATTTAATTAAATTTTGTTTTGTTTTATTTAATATTGTTTTATTTTTCTTTGTTCTGTTTCATTTTATTTAATTTTATATTGTTTTGTTTTAAAAAAATAGTTTTAAATAGTTGTTTTGTTCTGTTCTGTTTTGTTTTATTTTGTTTTAAATTGTTTCGTGTTACTTTGTTCTGTTTCGTTTTATTTAACTTTGAATTGTTTTGTTTTCCTCTGTTTAATTTTATTTTATATTGTTTTGTTTTGTTTAATTTAATTTAATTTTAAATAGTTTTGTTTTGTTCTGTTTCATTTTGTTTCATTTCGTTACCTGGTAGGTTTTTGTTCTTCCATTACGCTTTCTGGTAACCTTAAATTTGAAGATTAAAAAAAAGATTATTTAAAAAAATGAAATTATATCTCATAAAGATATCCCATGGTTTCATTCAAGTAAAATTATGATCAATTTATATTATTTTGTTACTTCATTTTAAGCAATTTAACTAAATATTTAAATATACTTAAAGAAAAATAATTATTAAACTCAAATTGAATTATTGAACTCAAATTCAAACTATTAATAAAATATTTGTAAAAATCAATAAATATACTTATTGTTGTAAATAAGTTACAACATAACTGTATAAAATTACACAGCATTTACAAAACAATTGCAAGTAAGATATGTAATACATTTATTCTCATTTTCTAGTAAACACTCCAAAAATTTTTTCTTTTAAAGCTTAAATAATCATCTTTACAGTATGTGAAGCCCACACTGTAGTATCATGTTCATCAGTACAGTTTAATGGCATCTGTAGGCAGTCGCAGGCAGTATTAACACATCTCTCGGGACGCTTCCACAGATGGTCTTTTTGGCCGTATTTTTATGTAAATAACAGTGCTGTACAGTAGGACACACACACACACACACACACACACACACACACACACACACACACACACACTGCCCATCAGCACTATCTGCACTCACTTCTATTATTTATCCAGTGAATATTTCATGGTGACATCCTTGTTCTGGACGTCCCGCTCTGCCAGAGGGGCCCCGCTAATGAGGCACGACGGCCCTCTCAGCTGGTCGCCTCACAGCCGGGTTAAATCTCATGTCTTCTTGAGCTTCTTCACGTCCCCTCACTGTGTCTTTTGCTCAGCTCCTTTCGGCGATGTTGTAAGCGGGTCACTAAAAGGCTGCGTGATTAACCTTCATCCTGAATAAAGGGCAGAGAGTTTATATTTGGAAGTACTTGCTAAGGCAGGAGTGCTATGTGCTCAGTGTTCTGGTTTACACATTCAACGTTACTCATTTAAAAAAAGGTAGTCCTAAAGTTTGTGCTTGTTTGGAAGTACTTGCTAAGGCTCGGATTGCATAATCAAGATTTATTTATTTATTTATTTTTTAAAAAGGTAGTCCTCAAGTTTGTGCTATAAATGTGAATAGAACTTGTTTTTGATGCATACTCAACCCTTATATACTGTTGAGGATGTTTTCATCCACTCTGGGGTGATTTATGTCTTAATTTGGCGACAACTGTTTCTGTGTTTCAGTTAGCAGAATGATTTTTTGCTGACAAATCTTATTTGACACATATTTTGAGAGAATGCTTTGAAATTCTTTTAAAAACTCAACAGTATATACAATCTGTATTACCCCTTTTGTTATGTTAGAGATGAAAACACCACTAAATTAAACTGCTGTAAAAATGCATCAGATAAATATAGACTGTGAAAAAAAAGTTACAAAAAATCTAGTCCACAATTAGACTTATATTGAAAACACGTCATTTTGTGTGTGATTTTCACCAAATCAGTGACATCATTTGTGAACTTGGCAATTAAAGAGTTAAATCCTGTATTTTCTAAACAATTTAGTAGTTTTGGTCAGGACTGGAGGTTGATTAACAGATTTTTGCAAAATAATCAAAACTAATTTTTATCTGATGAATTTTTACAGCTGTTTAATTTAGTTGATGTTTTCATCCCTAACATAACAAAAGGGTAGTACATTTGAACAGTGCACAAGGGTTAAATATGCATCTGATGAAATATTTCAAGTATCAAAACAGTATATATATATATATATATATATATATATATATATATATTAGAATGTGTGCTATTTAAATTCTAAAAATAAACATTGATTTTTAATATATATTTTTAAAGCATACATTTTATTTATTATGCTTTACTGTGCTTTCTATTTATTTACTTTTTGTAGATTTTATTTTAAAGGGGTCATGAAAACATCTCTGACTTGTACAGTATATTTACACTGAAGAGTATTTAATGAGCATGTATTCTACTTTTGGTTTTAAATGTAACTTTTAATGTGCATTTTTGATGCCTGAAAAAAAAATGTCAAGGCGATTCACTTGATTTCCCTGATTTCATGAAGAAAAAATAAATGAAGGTTTTCATACATGTTTTATTATGTCAAAATACATATTTTAACAAAAGTAATTGCTATATAAATACTTAACTTGTGTACAAAATTTACATGTAGTGATCAGTGTTGTTTTAGTATTGATAAGGCCATACAAGACATGACAGAAATTGAAATAAAGCCATTCAGAAACACAGTATTGCACTTACTGCACTCCAACAAAATGGTATGGTTTATAATTTAATAAATACATTTTAAAGCTCTTTAACATTATTAAATGAACATGCTGAATCACTAATGATTTACACTGAGTTACAGTTCTTAAGCTCATTTTCAAACAGTACATTTTCAAGATCTGAGGTGAACTATCTGTTGCTGCTTTCAGTATTATAGTTATAAATGTCATGTGAAATGGCACTCAAACTCACATTATTAGCATTTAACACTGAATAAAGCACATGGATGTACCTGAGGCAATCAGTTTTCTGTTTTTCAGCCGCAAGAAATAGAAGCCGTTTCTAAAATATAACTTTCTGGTGTTGGTTTGGACAAAAACTCCTTTTAATATGGAAATTATTCATGTGCCATTGCTTTTATTTAGAACACGGTTTAAATCAGCCTTTGGGCTAAACCAGTGGTCACCAAACTTGTTCCTGGAGGGCCGGTGTCCTGCAGATTTTAGCTCCAACCCTAATCAAACACACCTCAACAAGCTAATCAAGGTCTTACTAGGTATACTTGAAACATCCAGGCAGGTGTGTTGAGGCAAGTTGGAGCTAAACACTGCAGGGACACCGGCCCTCCAGGACCAGGATTGGTGACCCCTGGGCTAAACAATCAGACACACTGCTGTTGGTGTTGTCAATCTGGCAACCTCCGCTTGCGTGTGTTTTGAATTAGGAGTGCAATACCTAGTTCAACCACTGGATATCAAACTTACTGCTCTTTTAGAGCGATAGTTCATCCCAAAATGAAAATTCACTCACACAAAAGATACTATGCAAGTCTATGGCCAGCAATTTAGAAAAAATTTCAAAATATCTTTTTTTTGTGTGTTACAAACAAACGATTTGGATTCCGGAAAGCTTTATAACCACTCAAGTGTGACTAAATACTTGTGACTGTTAGGGATGTAACGGTATCAGAATTTCACGGTTCGGTAATACCTCGGTATGAATGTCACGGTACGGTATTTATTGAATCATTTACAGGAAAAAACAAAACTTATGAAAATACTCCAAAAAAGTGCCAAAAGTGTCAATGACATACAAATTAGCCATCTATCTGTAAGCTTTGAAAAAGGAACTTCAATTTTAATAATAAAAAAATATTAAACCATGTAAAAAAATAAAGTTTCAATTTAGTATTGTTGAAAACTCATCACATTCAACATTTAATCACTCACTCACTCAGATAGAGATGGCTTTAAAGGAAAATTATCATATAAATATAATCTGGTAAAAGCTGGTATCTCTGGGTATTTACAATGTCCCCTGCAACAGAAAAAACCCTCTCATTTGGGACTGAGGTTTCTGGGACAAGAGAGATATGACTTGGCCCAGGTTGACAGCAGTGGGTAACGTTGTGCATTGTCTTTCCCCCACTTGAGAGGACAAACCATGAGTGAGATAGAGGTCTCATGTCTGCATCAATCTGAACAGTGTGCTGACAACACCGCTATTCAGTACGCTCGCGACAACACAGCTGATAAGAACTCGCGCGACAACACCGCTATTCAGTACGCGCACGACAACACAGCTGATAAGAACTCGCGCCAGAACACCGCTATTCAGTACGCGCGCGACAACACCGCTATTCAGTACGTGCGCGACAACACAGCTGATAAGAACTCGCGCGACAACACCGCTATTCAGTACGCGCACGGCGACCCGCTTCTAGCAGCACACTCCATTTCCGCATTACTGGATCTGTAGCGATAACAGACCGCAAGGGATGATGGTCAAGCATGGGCTGATGGGAATTGTAGTTTTCGCTACCTCCCGTTCGCTTCATTCGCCTGAGCAAATTTTCTCAGAAGACCTATAGTTTTACCGAGTCATGCGACTACGGTAATATCGAAAAAAAATTTATATTGCAGTATGATGGTATTTACAATACCGTTACATCCCTAGTGACTGTACATTTTCCTTTTTGAATGAACTATCCCTTTAATTTCAGATTAAACTTTTTTTCTAAATATGTTTACGGTGTGAGACTAATGTTGTATGTTTCCTCTTTTGTGTTGGCAGTGAGGGGGTCTTCAAGTGCCCGGAGGACCAGCTCCCATTGGATTACGCCAAGGTAATTCACTCAGCTGTAATCTCTGTTGTAGCACAGATTACTGTTCAATCTCTCCCACAGTGATTGACTTCCAGTGGAGTCTCAGAGGCCTCGTTCTGTGCCTTTATTCGGTGTTCCGCTTTCCTCGAGTGGCTTTGCTGGAGTGTGCTGTGAGTCAGTGAAGAGCCAGAGGCATTGAGTCCTCGTCCATGCTTCTCAAAACACAGGAATAATCACACTAATGAACTACCACAGGCCACACATTTCACCGGGCATGGGGAAATGAATGGAGATGACACAGGGATTCAGTGCTGTGTGGCTTTTCTGCACCACTAAACAAACCTGTAAAAAATATTATTTTATCCTTTATTTACTTTGTTTGTTCTTTAATGGTGCAGAAAGTATACAGTGCTGTCAAATGAATAATCACAATTTTATCCAAGATAAAAGTTTGTATTTACATGTTATAAATTGCATCTAGAAAGTATTCATAGCTCTTTACTTTTTCTACATTCTTTTATGTTACAGCCTTATTCAAAAATGCATTAAATTCATTTATTTCCTCAAAATTATATGCACAATGCCCCATAATGACAATGTGAAATGCATTTTTTTAAAATTGTTGCAAATTTATTGGAAAATAAACACTGAAAAATCACATGAACTGAAGTATTCACAGCAATACTTTGTTGATGCACCTTTGGCAGCAATTACATCCTCAAGTCTTTTTGAATATGATGCCAGGATGGATAGGAAATGACGATGTACAGCTATTTTTGATCTCTCCAGGGATGTTCAATAGGATTTAGGTCTGGGCTCTGGCTGGGCCACTCAAGGACATTCACAGAATCGTTGTGATGCGACTCCATTGATATTTGGCGGTGTCTGAGGTCAAGAGCACTCTGAAGCAGGTTTTCATTCAGGATGTCTCTGTACATTGCTACATTCATCTTTTCCTCTATCCTGACTATTCTTCCAGTTCCTGCTGCTGAACATCATCCCCACAGCATGATGCAGCAACCACCATGCTTCACTGTAGGGATGGTATTAGCCTGGTGATGTGCAGTGTCTGTTTTTCTCCAATCATAACGCCTGGCATTCACTCCAAATAGTTCAATTTTAGTCTCATCAGACCAGAGAATTTTGTTTCTTATGGTCTGAGAGTCCTTTAGTTACTTTTTGACAAATTCCGGTCGGGGAGTGGCTTCAGTTTGGCCACTCTTCCATACAGGTCTGATTGTTGGATTGCCTCACAGATGTCCTTCTGTAAGGTTCTATTTTCTCCACAGAAGAATGCTGGAGCTCAGACAGAGTAACCATCAGGTTATTGATCACCTTCCTGAATAAGACCCTTCTTCCCCGATCACTCAGCTTAGATGGCTGGCCAGCTCTAGAAAGAGTCCTGGTGGTTCCAAACATCTTCCACTTATGGATGACGGAGGCCACTGTGCTCATTGGAACTTTCAGAGCAGCAGAAATTATTCTGTAACCTCCCCAAGCCTTGTGCCTTGAGACAATCCTGTCCCTGATGTCTATCGACAAATCTTTTATTTCATAATTATAATTTAGAATTTTGAGGAAATAAATGAATTTAATCCATTTTGGAATAAGGCTGTAACATAAAAAATGTGTAAAAAGTGAAGCACTATGAATACTTTCTAGATGCACTTTATTATCATTTTCATAATTCATAAAAATTAACCTAAAATTATAATACTAATATAGTATAAAATTGTACAAGATTACCTACATTTGGTTGAGAATTATTGTGAAATTTGGCTAAGCTGTGTTGAGTTTATAAAAGGGTGTTTCAAAGTGATTAATCTCTTTATGAATGTATTAAATATTAATACAGTTGCCCCCACTGTAAGTATTTCCTATGCTATATATGATTTGAGTTAGGCAGTCATACCCTGGGCTTGTCTAATCTGCACCCAGCCACATTAAAGCAGGAATTTCACCAAATCTTTAATTAGTGTAAGTTAATTTTTCATTTTGCACTTTAGCTAATTAATCAGGTTGAGCTGGGAAAAATGCCACGAGTGTCGGCGTTCATTAAAGAGTCCTTTTTCTCATGTGTGCCCTAGAGACTGGGATTACGAAACCTCTGAGCGCTTCACAGATGATGACTATATATACTGTACCTTGAGTTTACAGAGTCATTTTAAAGTTACTCTGATTAGCAACTTGTAGGATGAGAACTTTTATTTTCATATTATATAATCATGATAAAAAACGTGTCCCAAATTTATTTGTTAATAATCTAAATTATTTGAAAGACATTCATTCCAACACAAACTACAAATCTGCCATTATTTGTTCTCCCTCTAACTTTTTCCAAACCTGTTTATTTTTTTTTATTTTTCTTTCTTTCTTTCTTTCTTTCTTTCTTTTACTTTCTTTCTATCTTTCTTTTTTCTTTGTTTATTTATTTTTTATTGAACACAAAAAAACGCCTTTTAAAAAATGTCGAAAACCAAAAAGCCTTTGGCATCCATAGTTTTTTTTTCTACTGTGAATGTCAATGGCTAGAGTTTCCAACATTTTTCTTTCTAGTTTAACATAAGAAATTTGATTTGATTTGATTTGATTTATTGGTTACAATATGTGGTCACACTTTACAATAAGGTACATTAGTTAATGTTAATTAATGCATTTACTATTATGAACAAAACAACACATCTACTACAGTATTTGTTCATGGTAGTTATTGTTAGTTAATGAAAATACAGTATAGTTCATTGTTAGTTCATGTTAACTTATGGTGCATTAACTAATGTTAACAAGCATGGACTTGGATGTTAATAATGCATTAGTAAATGTTCAGTTATGATTAATAAATGCTGTACATGTGTTGTTCATGATTAGTTCATGTTAGTAAATGCCTTAACTAATGAACCTTATTGTAAAGTGTTACCCAATATGTTTGTCTTAAAGTTTTTGTTTATTCACATTCACAAAAGATATAAGCATTCAAAATTTACAGTTTCTCACTTTCCGCCTATAAGAGTCAAGATTTTTTGTGACCTCACCATGCACTTTAGCTTTTCTTCAGATCTTTTAATCAGTCAAGTGCTCTTTGGTGTTTTAATTGTTCCACCTACAAGCTGAAGCTGATAATCAGTCACTTAAGATGCTTTTCCACTGCATGGCATGGCACGGTTCGGTTCGCACCGCACGTTTTTTCATGTTTCTTAAAAGTACTTGAATTTCTGACATCTTCGATTTAAGGCCTTGAAAGTACTTGAAAATATAGCCTACTTAAAAATGCATGTGTGGCACATTATGGCTCCAATGCTTGTGTTTACACAGTGGCCCATTTTTAAAAGTGTTCCAGGATCTTTCAAACTTGTACAAGAACTACAATTAAATGCAAATGTGTATCAATATTTTAGAAACTGCATTCGAATTTTACCAGTATTCAATCCAATGAATTTTATTAAAGCCTTTTAAACATGATTAAAATTGTTAAAATTTATGAAACTTACACATTCAAAACATTATCATTGCTCTGTCATTTTTAAAAAAAGGTTTAAAATGCAAGTAAAATGTTTCTTAGTACTGGGTTTTGACTGGAACGGGATCTGCTGCATAAAACATATGCTGGAATAGTTGTCGGTTCATTCTGCTGTGGTGACCAATGATAAATAAGGGACTAATCTGAAGAAAAATTAATGAAGGAATGAAAATGTTAAGAAAAGTAAGGTCTGTCATGACGCTACATATAGTAGGGTGTAAATTATAAAGATACTTGATTTAAAATAAACAATGCTTTAAAAAGTCCTTGATTCTGGCGTCTATGAAAGAATGGGAACCCTTGCTTTAGGGGGCTTTTTTAGAATTACTTTGGATGAGGTTCCATGTGAGGCGTGTTATTACCTATATGTGACCCATAAACATAACGGATTGGTCCACTCTTACTATATTGGTCCAGAATCATCACTAGATTTGCGACAAAAGACACCAAAGACACTTTTTTTAAATAGCCATCAGCAGCCACCGGTAAACAGTTTTTCTACCACAGCAATAAAATACACCTGAAATGCATTGTGGTCAGTAGAGGAGCTCCAGATGTTTTTCTTATTGGTGGTAGCCGATGAGTAGGCCCACACAGAATCTGCGAGTGAGCATTTTTAGCCCATCGAGTCTATTTATTTACTTGTGTAAATGTGTGTAAACTTAAAGTTATTGGTTTTGAATGAATTTCAATAGTATCAAGTATCAATAATTTTTTTTACAATACAGTTTGGTTCTTTTGTTAGATAGATATACAGTATTATATAAGAGACTTGTTTTATTTACCAAACAAGTGAATCTAATTGGATTTCCTATGCTTTACTTTAAGCAACATAAAAAGGTTTTTATTTTTTATTTCATATATTAAGTTTTTAGTAATGATACTACCAAAGTCATTCTGCATAAATCCGCAGACATTTACAATATCTAAAAATGTCCACAGACTCTGTCTGGTCCTACCGATGAGCAGATCTAGTAAGAGCTGCAAGAGACCACCCAGCATGAAAAAAAAATTGCACAGTCACATCAGTAAAGGCCGCACAACTACAGCGATAATCACACCTTTTTTAAGAGATACTAAACTGGAATGGAAATGTAAATTGAGCCACGTAAAGCTGAACCTAGGTGAATCGTGCCGAATCATACCGAGCAGTAGAAAGTGTCTTTTTTCACTTGTAACCGAGTGTTTATACAGTATATTTGCATGGGAACTTGCTTATGTAAGAAAATAATAAACGGTAGCAAACACGCTCAGGATTTGAACAAACTGAAAAGTCACAAGCTGAAAACACACTTTTTCAGGCTCTGGTTCAGAGAGACAACAATACAGATTCAGCACAGATTACAAAATGTATCAGATCTTTTAATAACCGTGAATGCTGTCATTTAAAGCAGAGAAGCAGCAGACAGACTGTTATAGACTGTTGTCATGAGTAACAGATGTGCTTTAGCTCCACCACTCTGACTGGCAGAGCTGTAACATAAACAAAACGCCATTGGCTATTTTCAAAAAAAGAGGAGGAGCTACTTAAAATATCATGCCCTGTATTCAGTTGAAATTTCCTCACACATTGAACCAAGCTACGCATTTCAAAGGGATCTTTAAATGGAACAGATTTTTTATTTTGCCCTAAATGAATCACCCGCTTAGTAGAAAGTATGCAAATTTCAGCCCTATTGCCATATTTGTAAGCAAACCGTGGTAACATCTGAGTCATGCTCTGCTGCAGTGTGTTTGACACGCTTCAGGATGGGCACATGCAACAACTTAAACCTGTTCTGTGTTGGAAAGAGCTTTAGTGCACTAATCCGCTGAAACTGTGATTTGCATGAAGTCAGGGGGGAAAACTCTACTTTACTCTACTACGTCTGATGCTCACAATCCTGAACGCACACACACACACAGTTATTGCACAGGCAGTCATTTTTAAAGAGCAGCGAGTCGCCCACAGATTACCCATCACCCCCGCAGGGCCGCAGATCACTGCCTGTCTCTGCCTGTTTGAGGCTGGGTTCACCTCACATTTCTCGTCTCATTCCATCCTCCTACTCTCACAAAGTTATATAGTGAACAGCTGCATTATTATTATGTTTCATTTCATTATGTACTTATGCTTTTCTTTTACAAAAGTAACTAAATGCAACTGTTCAAAAAAGCTATATTTGTTTTATGTACATTGTGTAGAATTTTTTTTCATGTTTTAAAAACTACATAAAGGGCGGCACGGTGGCTCAGTGGTTAGCACTGTCGCCTCACAGCAAGAAGGTCGCTGTTTTCAGTCCCGGCTGGGCCAGTTGGCATTTCTGTGCGGAGTTTGCATGTTCTCCCTGTGTTTGCGTGGGTTTCCTCCGGGTGACATGCACTGTAGGTGAATTGGGTATGCAAAATTGGCCGTAGTGTATAAGTGCGTGTGTGTAAACACAAGTGTATGGGTGTTTCCCAGTACTGGGTTGCGGCTAGAAGGGCGTCCACTGCATAAAACATATGCCAGGAAAGTTGGCGGTTCATTCTGCTGTAGCGACCCCTGATAAATAAGGAACTAAGTGGAAAAGAAAATGAATAAATGGACCGAGTTGGGTGTAACGTGTTCCTCAGTAACGCGTTACTGTATTACATTTTTGCAGAACGCAGTAATGTAACAAATTACAATTTAAATTTGTGTAATTTGATCACAGCTACTAACGTCAGTGTAATTGCATTACTTACATTACAAATATAGTTTTTTGAAGAAAAAAAAATTTTTTTAAATCACATTTTCCGCTTCAACGTCACTTAATAAGCACACACTTTTAAATTGCTAGAAGACGCAAGATGTAATAGCTGCTGACGAGAGTTGTTGGTTCTTCAAGTGGAAATACAGACATTACTTTGATTTCATTAAGCGTAAAAGCAAAAATATTGCTGTGAAATGCAGTTTATGTTTAGTCTTTAAAGAACTTTTAACTGATTTTAACTCAACCAGCAACTTGTTTAAGCACTTAAATAGAAAGCATTCTGGGACAATACTTATCACCAAGGAGGACACCGGTGCCCAAAAACACGTTGGCCAAACACAGCCTAAACAGTCTAAATTGGATTTTTGTGCAGGATCTGAATGTGAAGAGAAGCGTAGCTTCTTAGAGCAGTTCTCATATCTCATCTTTTGCGCACAAAACAAAATAAAACTAACTTATCTAAATGAGCAGCAACAGCCAATAAGTGACCAGATACTGATCTGCAACCTGTGAAACCAGCCTCATCTCACGAGGAAACATAACTATTTCACGTTTTGTCAGTTTAGTGGCTAATTCATATGAATTTGGATAAATTTGTATGATTTTAAGATGTAGCACTTAATCCTATACTCCTAAACCCAACCGTCACTGGGGACAAGTAAATCATACTAAATTGTACGAATGATGTACGAAAAATTATCCATTTACTCATGATGTTGTAGTTATTTATATTACTTTTTACATTTTTAAACAAATCTACAAATCATCATGTGTATGGCAGTATGGCTCAGATGGGAGAGTTTATCTTAAAAAAAAAAATCTGTCTATGAAAAAAAGCAAGTGTTTATTGTGTTTGTGTGTGGCTCCATACTGGGTGACATGGAAAGAAAACATCCACGTCCGCAGGGTCTGATGTGCTCAGTCATAGTCCGGCAGATCTGTGTGTGTATGTAAATCCCACAGGCTGGGGATTTGGGCTGATTGGATGGGGAACTGCTCATCCTTCATCAACTTTATGGATGAAGGGAAGATGCAGTAGCCGCTGGATGTAACATACACACACAGATGCACGTGTACGCTCTCGTTTTACAGGGCACTGGCTAAGGTCATGCAGCTTACATAATGTATTTGTGTTTTTAACAAAGCATTATTTTTTTGCACCTCTCTAAATGCAGTTTCACAATGTTGCATCATTGTTGTTTAATTGGACACAATATTGAAAAGATTTGATGCAAAAATAACTATTATATATTGTATCTTTTACATAAGTATATATGGTTCGTTTACATAAGTAAACATTTTGTATACAGTCAGGGAAATAAGTATTGAGCACGTCATGTTTTTCCCTGGGAATAATATTTCTAAAGGAGCTGTTGACATGGAACTCAACCAGATTTTGGTAAAAATCCAAACAATACAAACATAAAAATAAAAAATAAAAATCTGGAAAATGTGTAATAAAATACTGAACTACAAAAATGTATTTAATACTTTTATATAAAAGGCTTTGTTTTGGTGATGGCAGCTTAAAGACACCTCTCATAGGGAGAATGAAGTCACATAAATTGCTTAGGTTTGAGTTTTTCAACAGAGTGTAAAAATCTTGACGTTTCTGTGAGTCTCGTCTATCAAATCTGATCTTTATTTTGATTCAAGCCAGGTGATTGGCTGTGCCATTCTTCAGCTTGATCTTCTGAAACCCTTTTAAGAGTTTCCTTGGCTGTGTTTTGGATCATTGTCTTGCTCAAATGTCCACCCTGGTTTCATCTTCATCCTCCTGCTAATGTAGATGTTGGACTGAAGCGGCTGATATTAATTTACAATGACAGGGCTGAGGGCAGAGGGTTGCTGAAGAACTACTCGTGGATTTCAGCTGCTGTCTGGGCTTTCACTGCGTTTTTACACCTCCTTTTCTTCATGTGTTCAATACTTTTTCCCTGTGTCATTTCACTTTGAAAACTAATTAATTTTGTTAGCTTTGCATAGATGGATTTATTTTCGGTGAAATTTTCAAGTCAACATCACCTTTAAAAATATGTTTTCTTAGAAAAATGGTGATGCATTTAGGCTTATAGTTGTTTCCCCTATTGTATATAGACTTATAATGACATAAATCTTAAAATGATGGATATTTACTTATCATAAGTGACAAAATGTACCTCTTTTAAAAAAAACTTCTAATATTTATTTATTTATTGGTTTGTTTCCCATCCAATTTCTCTGTGATGTCACAAAGGCTGCATTAAACAATGCAGATTTGGAAGCTTATTATTAACAAGTGCCTGTTAGAATCTTAAGATAACATTGGCAATTATATACTGTACATGATTTGCATTGGTGTGAAGCGTTTTGAAAAAACTTAATCTTATTACACAATAATTGTGTTTTAAAGAGATAGTTCATTCAATAATTAAACAACTGAATCCCCATCATTTACACCTCCTCAGCTTGTTCTTACCTGTGTTTTTAACTGGAACTATACCATCAGAGTAAAGAAATTCAAGCTGTAGAATGGCCCAGCCAATCACCTGACTTGAATCCAATAAGGAATACAAAATACAGATCACATTTGACAAATGAGACCCCCAGAAACATCAAGATTTTTACACTCTGTTGAAGTCTGAGCAATTCATGCAACTTCATTCTCCATATGAGAGGCATCTTAAAGCTGTCTAAAAGCCGTTTTCTTAACCCTTGAGTTTCATTAACATTTGGAACCACTTCATTTTTTCATAAACTATCCCTTTAAGATCAATCCTTGCAGTAATTTCAAAGCACTCAAGTACTAACACCCATCCTTCTGAATGATGTGACGCTAGCTATAATTATATCAACAGACAATCCCCTTCCAGCGTGGGAGAAGCCACAGGCGTATAGTGTGCCATAGTTAATAAGTGAACGTTTAAACCCAGACCTCTGTCCTGTCCTTGAGAGCCTTATCCATGAGTGTGTGTTTTAAGAGAGGAGACAGCTCTGATTAATGCGTCCTTGGTGTAACGCTGTGTTATAGATCTATCCTGACCCTGAGCTGGAGCAGCAGATACTGGCGCTGCCCATCCGCTGTATTCACAGTGAAGAGGGCTGCCGCTGGACCGGCCAGATGAAACAGCTACAGGTAATCACGCTTTTCATCTCTGAGACCACATATGCTTGGCTTGGGCAATTTTTTTCTGATGTTTGCTTTTCGAGGGTTGGGTTGACTAGGGATGGGTGATATGGGCGTAAAATGATATCATAATATTTTCTGGTATTTATTGCGTTAATGATTATAATTAGCATGATGTAAGAGCTGATTCATTTATAGAGGAAGCTAGTCACAAATAAACTCCACAGATGCTTTTACTGCCATCTATAACGTTCTTTTGGAGTAAAAGTATGTCAGTAACTGTATTGCACTGTAGTATGTATAATCGCTGCACAGACCGTTTTTTCCGAGTGCCTTTACACAACTCTGAACTAATCAGTTCCAGTTTGTAATCATTGTTGTGGAATTAGTAATTCTTATTGTAGAAGATTTTTAAACGTATATCGTAAACATTGGAAATCATCAATCTCTACTTTGGTCTTGCAATGTAGCTACTGCAAATTTAGTTTGTCTCGAGATGATTTGTTTGAATGTGTTGTGTCTGTATCCACCCCCAGAGCCACTTCTCGACCTGCGCCTTCAATGTGATCCCCTGCCCAAACCGCTGCTCCGTCAAGCTGACGCGCAGAGACCTGCCCGAACACCTGCAACACGACTGTCCCAAACGCAAGGTCAAGTGCGAGTTCTGCGGGAGTGAGTTCACAGGAGAGGCCTATGAGGTGAATATCATAGTATAGAGTACTGTAGGTTTAGGGGTTTTTGGACCAGAGGAACTTTTTTAAAGTTCCTAGAACTCTAGGGATGCACAGCAATAACAATTTTGGGCTGATGCCGTAATCAAAAATTCTAGTTGCACTTGGTCAAACCACCCAAAACCACTTTGTAGTAATTATTTATTACTTTTTGATTTTCTTTCGGTTGAATACAGAGGAAGATATTCTGAAGAATGCTGGAAAAAACTGCCAGTAACTTCCATAGTATATTTTTGTTCTTACTATGAAGATCTCTGGCTGCTTTGTTTCCAACATTTTTTAGAATATCTTGTTTTGTGTTCAATAGAAGAAATAATTTCATCAAAGTTTAGAACCACTTTCATTTTTTGGTGAACTGTCCCTTAAAGATCAATTTCTGCTGTAATTTCTAAGTACGCAAGTAATAACACCCATCCTTATGAATGATGTGACGCTAGCTATAATTATATCAACAGACAATCCCCTTCCAGCATGGGAGAAGCCACAGGCGTATAGTGTGCCATAGTTATTAGAACCTCAATAATAACTCTAATTATTTATTACAAAGTAAAAAAATAAACAGCAATTTTGTAAGATTTTTTTTTTATTAAACTCAGTTACTTAAGTTACACTAATAAAAAAACAAGCAAACACAAGTCAATAAAAAACACATTCGAGAGGTGTCTTTTTTTTACCAGTGCTTCCATGACAGAACAGTTGCACTGTTGCAAGCAGCAGGAACAAGTGTACAACATAGAAATGTCCTGTTGGGGGGTTATTTGTGCGGACTTTGCTTTTCTGGTGAGGATGTGCAGTACATGTAGGGCTGGGCCATTTGGTCTTAAATCAAAATCTCGATTAATTGAACATTTTAACTCGATTTCGATTAATGAGCAATTATTTTATTTATTTATTTACTTTTTTGCCCTTATAGTCCACTGACAAGTTTTATATGCTTATAGTTGCCGCAGAAGTAGAAATCAGCCACAGCCTTTAACAGAGTGGGGTCACGTGACATGGAAATTAATTGAAAAAATAATCCTGGAAAATTTTGATTGATTAAAGGTTCTGAATGTCAATTTTGAGTATTTTTCGATTAATCACCCAGCCCTCAAGTACATGCTTCACAGAGTGGGTTATTGAGCTGTTCAAACTTTGACTGCCGCATGTGTGCTAGCTAGTCAACGATACCATCCACTGCTCTTACTGTTTTGTTGGCGTGGCAACTAACCTCTCTTTTCCTTCTCACAAGTCATTGAAATGAATTGGTTTCATAGCACAGTGCTTTCCGTGTTCTGTGTGAAAGTTGAAGTGATACAACGGCTGACTTGATTTTGAAAGCAGCATAGCCTTTTTTCAGTTCATAATTTCGACTTTTTTTCTCTATTGGCCAAAACCCATAAAAGCCATTTACTAATTTCCTTTGTCTGCAGCATTAGGTTCTTTTCTTAGCCTCAATTTGTTGAACCACAAGTTGTTGTAGGTGATTGAGTCCATACTATTCCATATTTTCCAATTTATAGATTTTGAAAGAGTGAAACTTAATGGCGGTGATGCTGTTGTCAAGTTTAACATCTACTGTAAAACCCAAAAAGTTAAAGTAACCGTTTTGGGAAACCGATTGCATCAAACCATTTAGGTTCAAAAACTAATCCTAATGAGTACTGTGAACCTGCATTTGAGTAAATAAAGCAATTTGAGCACTGTAAAACCCGATAAATGAAGAGAACTCAAACCAACTGAGTTCTGTAAAACCCAATAAATTAAGGCAACTCAAACCATTTGAGGAAACCGATTGCAACAAACCATTTGAGGGAGAAAAAAAATGAATCTATGTGAGTACTGTGAACTTACTCCATTTAAGTTAAAGTAATGAGGTTCTTAATTTACTCATTACCTTCAACACTGAGTTCAAAACTCTTCAAATGAGTCGAATTAACTTTCAGTAAATATTGAGTTAACTACACTCATTTCATTTGATAAAGTTGACTGTTGGGTTTTACTACAAATACGGTTGTATTTGTGAAGCTTATCATGATCAACAAAACACAGAATCATCATCGATGGCTACAGAGATTATATTCTTCCTAGTTAACAGACAAATTATAACTTTATCTTTGCGTTTTTAATTAATTAGCATATTAACTAAAACACTATCTTTTAATGCCTACCAGTTAGTATGTGCTCTGTGTTGAGCACTGCTACATGAAAAAAAGGCTTGTGTGCTTCTCACCATAGTGTAATTCTGCAATGTGTGAAGTCTAAGAATTTGTAATTGGCAAACCGGCAGCTTGAACTCATAGTAGCACAAGAACTGTGGTTGTTTGCTAATATAGTGCCACTCCTATTTTTATACACGCGACGCCAACCTCACGATATACAAAATAGCCTTTTAAGCATTTTATAGGCATCTTTCTTTGTTGTTTTGTGGGTAGGCTTTGAAATTGCGCTTAATTGTTACAATTTGTGATTAAAGACCATTTTATTTGGATTTTTTATTTTTTTTTTTGATGTTTGCTGTCTGTTTCTGCATCATGGAACTGCTTGATATGACTACACAGACATTCTAGTCATGGCGAGAATACACTGCTTGCAGTGTAAAAAGATTTTACTCAATGCGAGTCGATGAAATAGTAGTTGCAGAAAGACTTCGGTGACCAGATATCTTGTTTTTCAGCTTTATTTTTAGTGTTCGGAGTTATTATGGAAAAAACAAACATTTTTTATCGTGTATTTCAGCTTCTCTTAAAAAATTGTTGGTATCATTTCAGTCTAAGTACCAGTTCCTCTTATTAACTAGTGGCTAATTACTTGCGTAATAGTAAGATATTGTCTGTTTATTTGTTATAAAAACATATTCTGTATGATTTTATTGTACATCCTTAACCCTTCTTAATACATAAACACAACTACCTCCTTAATTAACAATTCATACGCTGCTAATTACAAGTTTGTAGAGCTAAAAGTCAAAGGGACATATTAATAGTACGATTTGTACCCTAATATAAAGTGTGACTAAGATCTTAATCTGCTTGTTCTAGTATTCTAGCACCTTTACATTTAGACATTTTGACCTTTCATAAAGTGTTTTTATGCATAGAAAGTCCTTGTACGTGTTTGATCACTATATCAATTGATGTCTGTACATGTCAGTTTTAATACATATTTATAAAAGTTTTTTTTCCTCATAAATTTCCACTTCTTCCAGACATCCCGTTTTTAATTATATATCTTTATTGTATCTGTTTTAAAGGTATTTACAGAAAAATATTGCATAATTTGCCTGATTGTAAACAACATTTCAAACCATTGACGCTAATGTCAAACAAATAATTGGTAGAATTTGTAACTTCATACAGTGTTCGGGGTTTTGTGCTAGAAATACGTATTTGCACATTTCATAATTCATTTAAAAAACACTTGAAATACAAAATATGTTTGCAAATGTTTTAATGAAATCCATTAACTGCGGGAGTATGTTGATAACTATTACTTATTTTTCTTAGTTGTTTATATGTTGGTGAACTGGAGTAAGTAGTAAAAATGATTCTTATTTATTGTGTTAATATCTAATCATTTGTTCATCTTGTATTCCACTCTGATATATCTCGTCACCCTGCATCAAAACAACACTAGCATTCTGAATAGCATTATGCTCATATGGAAATTTGATGTATGTCATATATGAACATATGTATAAAATGATATCTAACATATTTGAACATATATGTACATATTTGTATTCCCAATTGTTGAAAAAAATAAACGTTAAAGGACATTTAATGCAATATTGTTCAGGTGTGAGTTTCAACAGAGTGTAAAAATCTTTTTGGTTCTGTGAGTCTCATCTATCAAATCTGATCTTTATTTGTATTCTCTATTGGATTCAAGTCAGGTAAATGGCTGGGCCATTCTACAGCTTGATTTTCTTTTTCTGAAAGCATTTGAGAGATTCCTTGGCTGTGTTTTGCATCATTGTTTTGCTAAAATGTTCACCCTGGTTTCATCTTCATCCTCCTGCTAATCTAGAGGTTGGATTAATGCAGTTAATATTTATTTATAATGACGAAGGGCAAAGCTTTGCTGAAAAACTACTGAGAGATTTCAGCTGCTGTCTGGGCTTTCACTGCCTTTCTACATCTCCCCTGTATACTAATTAGATCTGTTTTCTTTGCATATATGGATTTCTTTGGTTGTTCTGAGATAAATGAATACGTGTTCAATACTCATTTTCCACAATGTATATATTATATATGTGAAATCCTAACTTTTCCCAGAGATGGGTTGCGGCTGGAAGGGCATCCGCTGCGTAAAAACGTGCTGGATAAGTTGGCGGTTCATTCCGCTGTGGCAACCCCAGATTAATAAAGGGACTAAGTCAACAAGAAAAGGAATGAATGAAATCCCAATTCAATCCCACAGTAATTCATAACTCAGTGGCTAATTCTTATTAATTTATACAAACTCATTTGTACATTTTAGTACAATTTTCTCATCCCCCAAAGCAGAGTAGTTTAGCCACTTTTCTGACAATACAATATGAATAAATAAATAACATAGTTATGTTTTCTCATGTGATCTGGCTGAAAACCCAAACATGACCTTATGTATGAACATATGTTGCTATTTTTCAGATTATTATATCACTTAATAAGTTTATTGTTAAACCTGATTGTAAACTATTCATCTAAATTCTTTGTAAAGCAGTTTTTTAATACAGTTTGCATTGTATAAAGCTCCATTGAGATTATTGTGACTTGACCTGACTCTTCTGACATCTCCATCTCTTTGGCATCCCTCAGAACCACCAAGGCATCTGTCCGCAGGAGAGCGTTTACTGCGAAAACAAGTGTGGCGCAAGAATGATGCGGCGACTCCTGTCCCAGCACACCATGACGGAGTGTCCCAAACGCACACAGCCCTGCAAATACTGTGGCAAAGAGTTTGTGTACGACACAATCCAGGTGAGTGACAAGTCAAGCAAACCACTGTACCTCATTCAGCTCTACACTCCTCAGCTGTGGCCTGGCATCAGTACCACACGAAACCGGATGCTAATAGTGTTTGCTTGTTGACTTTTATTCCTGTCGGGTGCTGATGGAACAGTAGCCGCTCAGTGGCGAATTAAAAGGGGTTTTGAGGCTGCGCTGGGCGGATGGCAATGAGCCTCTGACTGCATAAACGCTGGCTTTCATACTTGATTGTGGGTTTGGTGCCAACCACAGCTTGGGCTGGCCTCGCTTCTTTTCATAACACCTGCGTTCACACATAGAGGTATACATGCTGGAAACACTGGGAGATTCAGCTGCCAGGCTAATAGACATGCTAGCCATTTTCGAAAACATGGTGCGCTGTCTTCATACATCTGTCATGGGGATTCAGATGTGACCGTTCTGTGAATTAGATCCCACGGGTGGTGTGTTGTGACTCATTTTTTTGCAGTTTGTTGTTGATTTTGAATGGATTTGAATGTTAGCATGTTGCTAAGCTAATATAATGCTCAAAAATCAGCTATGAACACAGAAACACAGTCTTTCCAACATATTACACACAAATATGTTGCAAGGATTTATCTGTGTATTTATCTACATTTTTAAACAGGGATTTAAATATGTTAAATCTTTTGCAATTTGAAAAGTATTGTTTTAGTAAGGGAACAAAATAATGAATTCATAAATGCGAAATGTTATAAGTCTACATTGGATCTACATACATCACCTAAAGCTGAATAATATTAAATAAATACGCTTTCCATTGATGTTTTGTTTGTTAGCATAGGACAATGTTACAACATTGTCGAGATACAACTATTTGAAAATCGGGATTTAATGAAATGAAATGAGGGATTAAAAAAAATCTAAACACTGGGAAAATTAACTTTAAAGTTACTAACATGAAGAGCTTAACAATGAAAATTACTAATATATTTATATATTTTTTAATTAGATATTTTTAATATTTATTATATACAGTTTTATATATATTTGCATTCGTTTTGTGGGTAGGCTTGGAAATGGCACTAAATTGTTACAGTTTATAATCAACGACCATTTTATTTGGATTTTTTAATGTTTGCTGTCTGTTTCTGCATCATGGAACTGCTTGCAAAACGGATATGACTCCACAGACATTCTAGTCATGGCGAGAATACACTGCTTTATGGTGTAAATAGATGTTTTTGCCAGGAAATTGACAGAATGTCTTCATTAAACATGATATTTATGTAATATTCTAGTGACTTGGCATAACATATCTATCATTTTGACCCTTTCAATGTGTTTTTGGGTACTTACAAAATTTCCAGTGCAAAATAAAACTGGTTTTATGGTCCAGGGTCAGACATTACTTTTTTAAATCAACAAAATTTACAACATTTTAAGTTGTGAAATCAGTTGGAGGACCAGATTTATAGATACATTTTATTGCTGAACAGCTTTAGAATATACATTTTTCTAACCTTGTCCACTCTCTTGGATGTCACTTAACCTTTCTTATGGATGCACACAGTGTAGGTGGTGAATTTGGCCTAATATAAGCAGGTGGGATAATTAAGTCACCTACATTTTGGAACATCCTTCATGCTAAGAGCGCATGATATCTTAAAATACAGCCTCTGTAGGCACTTTTAGGTTTTCAAACCAAAAGAAAAGTTGTTCTCATTTTCTCATACAGAGGAGGATTCATGTTTCACATGTTTTGGTGCGCCATTTCCTATATTATGACTAATATTTGGCCTACACTTCAATCCAAATGCCGAGCATCTGTCAGTGCGTGTTTCCTGGCATCTGAACCTGTGACTTCAGCCTTTCTAGTGTCACGCTGTATCAGCTGAGGAATGAGAACATGAGTGCAGACACTCTTGGCCAATTATATGACATTTTCAGCAAAAAAGGGGAAACTTTTTATACATTTTACCTGTTTGTTTGCAAAACAATGTTGTTTTTGAACTAATATTGCATACATTTGAAAGCTGATTTAAAAGTGAAAGTTTTTGTCGTGTTCGACGCCTAAAATGAAAGTCTCTGGAAAACAATGACATCATGTACATGCACAGTATGTGTTTAGTAGAGTGTATATTAAAGGCAAGTGCAAACAAACATACACAACTACGGCAGAATATGTGGTAGTGTTGTTGTTTCTCAAGTGTTTACATTAGCTTCATCAGCAAAGAGTGGATTTACTTAACATTACAACCAAAAGTGAAGACGCATCTTTCACACATTTAGACACACACAATTATATAGACAAAAGCACCAAGCAACCGATGACAAATTCTGGCCTGGAATGCGTAATACAGCAGTTTTGTCCATTATTGCCAAATATCGTTAACACATAAAACTTTATCAAAATGGTAGGGCGAAAACATAAAAGTTTTCATCTAAATATTTGTTGTTTAAAATGGCATAAGACACCAAATAACCACAAACAACCTTGATTCTAAAGCAGATGAGAAAATATGATAAAAATTTGGTCACACTTTATTTTCCAGAACAATTCTTTCTACTAATAAACTATTATCTCTGACATTTGCCTCAATAAACTCCAAATTTCCTGCTTATTAATAGGTATTAAGGTAGTAGTTGGGTTTAGGTATTGTTTAGGATTAAGAATGTACAATAAAGTCATGCAGACTATGTACTTTACATGTATTCATAAACTGCCAATATCTTAATAATAGACTGATAATACACCATTAGCTAATAATGAGAATTGGCATTTAAACTGAAGTATTACTTATTTAAACAAAAAAAGCATTTTATAAAACATTCCAACTTTGTCAGATCTGGTGTTTGAGATGATCTCATGATGATTTTCATGATCGCACGCATATTTTGGAGCTCACGCCTCAGTGCTCAAGCTGTCATTGCTAAAGAAATCACAGCACAACCTCCAGATTAACGTCAGTGCTAATGCCCGACTGTTGCCTTTGCTCTCCACAGAACCACCAGTATCACTGCCCTCGCTTCCCAGTGCAGTGCCCCAATCAGTGCGGCACCCCGAACATCGCCCGTGAGGACCTGGCCAACCACGTGAAGGAGAGCTGCGGCAGTGCGCTGGTCCTCTGCCCATTCAAAGAGGCCGGCTGCAAACACAGAGTAAGTGCTGAACACATTCACGCAAATTGTGACCCTGACTTTCAAGCTATTAGTGGAAACCTGATGAATAAAAATAAATAAATTAGTTTTGAAATTTGTATTAAATGTAAAGGAAAGTACTTTTCAAGTAAACACAGACATTTAATTGATTAAATGCAGTATGAATTAGTACATTAAATATTAGCGTAAAAATTAATTGCTTTTTAAATGAATAATTTGTTCTATTTATTTGTTGTTTATTCCTGATATGCTGTAATGTAGTATTTCTCTCAAACTGTAATTGAGTATATTAAGTAAACTGTAATAAGTATATTAAGTATTCTTTTTTTATTAAAAAATACTTAACTTTTGTGTACTGTTAAAAATGACTACCCTTTCCTTGTGTTGGTGGCTGTTTTTCCCCATTGACTTTCGTTATAACAACATGTTTTGATTGTGAAGCCATGACATCAAATAATCATGCATTTATTTTACTGTTGTTGTTTTATTTCCTGTTGGGAAGAGATAAAACCTTTCATTTTTACTGTTGATTATCAGTTGGCAGCATTAACCCTTTACATATGCCTATGTGAAAATGTTTCTGGCTTTTATATTGAGTTCTGTGGAGTGAAACAGCAAAATATGTGTCATCCAAAAATCATTCCGTTTGCTGAAACACAGAGAACGTTGTGGCCAACCTAAGACTCAAAATCACCCCAGAGTGGATGTAAACATCCGAAGAGCACATAAGGGTTAATATACTCAATATTTTTAAAAGTTGTGTCTAGAAGTGGTAGGATTGTTACATTTGCCAAATGTATAGTACTTTTCAAGTGGACAAATACAAAGACTTTTGAAATGTTGGTTTTATTTGTCATGTTTAAAATGTTTTAAAATATAATTAACAAACTTAATACATTTGTTTTCAAATGGACAGATAAACAGACATGTTACAACTGTGTATACAGTTTATGTTTTGAAATGTCATTTATATATACCAGTCATTGGAGTTAATTAGAGACAAATTGCATTTAATTAATTAAAATAGATCATTAGTTTTTTTTTTACAGTTTTTTTAAATGTGGCATTTGCAAATGAATCATCAAGTATTTATTGATTGATTTTTTTAACCATGTTCAGTTTAAAATAACTATTTAATTGCCTTAAAACTTTTTTAAAAATGTATTAATACAGCAATATGCACTGCCTGACAGAAGTCTACCTGATCCCAGTTGTGAGATCAAAAAAATAACTTCTAGTTGATCATTTGGAAAAGTGGCAGAAGGTAGATTTTTTCCGATTAATCATCTTTGAACTGCATCCTGATCATCACAAATACTGAAGAAGACCTATTGGAACCCACATGGAGAATCTCTTAGAAATCAGTCAAGTTTGGTGAGGGAAAAATCATGGTTTGGGTATACATTCAGAATGGGGGCGTGCAAGAGATCTGCATAGTGGATGGCAACATCAACAGCCTGAGGTATCAAGACATTTGTGCTGCCCATCACATTACAAACCACAGGAGAGGGCAAATTCTTCAGCAGGGTCACATCAAAGTTCCTGAAAGCAAAGAAAGAAGGTCAAGGTGCTCCAGGATTGGCCAGCTCAGTCACCAGAAATGAACATTATTGAGCACATCTGGGGTAAGATGGAGGCACTGATGATGAATTCAAAGAATGTTGATGAACTCTGGGAGTCCTGCTAGAACACTTTCTGTGCCATTCCAGACGACTTTATTAATAAGTTATTTGAGTCATTGCAGAGATGTATGGATGCAGTCCTCCAAGCTCATGAGAGTCATACACAATATTTACTCTTTTTCCTTTGCAAAATTACTTTTTAAACTTGAATAGGCCAGAAGACTTTTGTCAGGTAGTGTAGACTGTTGCCAGTAAAACACTGATTCTACAACGATTATTCTGATAGAATCAAACAGGAGTCAAAACCAACACTCACAGTCACATTATCCTTACACAAATCTGTTTTCTGGTTTCCAGTGCCCAAAGATGGCGATTGGTCGGCATCTGGAAGAAAGCACTAAATCCCACCTGACCATGATGTGCAGTCTCGTGGGACGCCAGAGGCAGGAGATCTTGGAGCTCAGACGCGAAATGGAGGAGCTCTCGGTCAGTCACGATGGCGTCCTTATCTGGAAACTGACTGACTACTCACGCAAACTGCAGGAGGCCAAACTGCGCAACAACCACGAGTTCTTCAGTCCACCTTTCTACACGCACCGCTACGGGTATAAGCTTCAGGTGTCTGCTTTTCTAAATGGCAACGGCAGTGGTGAAGGCTCGCATCTGTCCATATACATCCGCGTGCTGCCCGGAGAATACGACAACCTGCTCGAGTGGCCCTTCTCATACAAGGTGATCTTCTTGATCTAAACTATGTATAACATGGGCAAATATAGCACCAACTCAACTAGGAGTGTCATGATAATGGATTTCTCACACCATAATTATTGTAGCTAAAAGAATTTACAATATTGAAATATCACAATATCTAAAGCGAAGAAAAATCTTTTATTTTGTTTGTTTGTGAACAAGCTCATAAATGCATATCAATTTATTTATTTCATTTGGGTTTCAACGCTGTTTAAATAGCAAATGCATTTCCAATCATATGTGTGCCCATAGGCGTTCTGGTCTAAAAAAGGAGGCGTGTTGAGGCGCATTGCTGGTGCGTTGCTATTTTGAGGAACTAAAATACACTGTTCAATAGACCAGCTGAGAGCAGGTCTAAAGTCCAGCGCAGAGCGCGTTAGTTGTGCGCCTCACTTAAACATCGCTTAATACACACAGGCTGTACAGCAATACACAAATATCTTTACAAAAGGAAAAAGAATTAAAGGATTAAACTATTACGAAACATATTATATTCTAGCCTACATAAATATAAAAAACACTGCCTCATGCCTTCTTCATCTTGGGGGGCTTTTTCCAGTAAATTCATGACAATTTGCTTTTGTATAATGTTATTATTAGTAGCAGTATTATTTATTATATCCATATTTATATTTGTTTTATTAAAAACAAGCTTAGGTTTGCCCACTTGTCAGGTTTTAGACCATATGAGACACAGCATGTGTATTTGGAAATAACTGATCACACTTTGTTATTATTGTTTATTCATTCATTTGCTGGAAATTAGAACTGAATTTAGAAACAGTTTTGAAACAAATCTTTGCGCTTAATAAATGCAAAAAAAGTAATATAAAAAAATGATTAATAAAAAATGTATTATGTAGGCTAATGGATGTCTGCGTACAACACGTTTCCTTATCCACAAGAGTGAAAGTAAAGAATGAGGAGGCTCATTCTCTCATTCTCGTGCTCTAGATGCTCTGCTTAACTGTTTTGTGTCACTAGTGAAGCATTCAGTTTTTCCACTTACAAAGTTCGCCATGTAAATAGCAAATGTGCTATGGCACGATGCAATTACTTCTGAAGGGAATGGGAGACGAGACCCTGGTTGGTTTATTCTCAAAACACACCTATAACTTATTAAGAGAATAAGCACAACCCTGTTAGACCATGTGCCACGGCGCAAAGCTGATTTTTCCATTCTTAAAATAGCAAAAGTGGATTCTGACATGCCATAATTGCTTTTGCGCCCTGCGCTTTAGACTTTGCACCTGGATCATCAAAATATAACCCATAATGCACTGAAGTATATTGCGATAAACAATAGTGATCATATTATTGTCATTTTAAGAACATTTTACGCCACTCTTTATATAATGCCAGAATGACAATATAATATTGTCAAAATGCAAGTCTTCCAAACAACACATACTATTTTATTCTTGAGAATATTTCATTTATTTATAGTCATTTTACCAGTTTAATAATCAGACATATGCTAAATAAATAATGTGTTAATAAAAAAGAGCAAGATAAAAAGTAACAGAGGCTGCAGTATCTGCTACCAGATCTATTTTCAGTTGTCTGACACCAACATGTATATAAAAAAAATACTATAGTAATTTATAGTAAATTCTATAGTGCTTTTTAACCATACTGACACTTTCAATAAAGATAGAGAAACTGCACAATCAAAACAAATGTTTCTAGAATTAGTTTTTGCTTATTGGCAATATATATTTCATGTGTTTTCTTAACTTAAAAGTGTTTGAGCTCTTTCAGCCACCATACCTCAGAGTACAAAAATGGCCATAAAAGTATATATGAATACCTTTTCCATCTTCACTGACAAATCTCTTTACCAGCATCAATTGTGATTATTTTAACCCTTTAAATGTCAGTTTGTTTACAAAATCACACCGTTGTTCAAAAACAACAACAGCAAGATCAATTCTTTTGTATATTTAAAATAATATGCAAAATCATTTTTTCTATTAATTAATTTATTTATTTATTTGTTCATTTATTTATTTGTTTGTTTATCTATCCTTATGTCCTCCAAGGTGACCTTCTCCATCCTCGACCAGAGCGACCCGTCACTATCCAAACCCCAGCACATCACCGAGACCTTCAACCCGGACCCCAACTGGAAGAACTTCCAGAAGCCCTGCAGCAGCCGCAACTCGCTGGACGAGAGCACGCTGGGCTTCGGCTACCCCAAATTCATCTCGCACGAGGAGATCAAGAAGAGGAACTACATCCGCGACAACTCCATCTTCCTCAAAGCTTCCATAGAGATCCCGCAAAAAATCATGGCCTGAGGGGTGAACATTTGTGTTGACGTTTTGTTTTATCCCCTCACAGAGCCCGTCTGTTTGGTGAATCGGCCAGATTTGAGGAGCCGTACCAAAATATGGAAGTGTTTCGCAAAGTCATCTCTTGGATTTGCTTTCTAACACTATTCTTCCTCAGTCTACAGCAACGCCTTTGGACATTCAGTAGTGCCTAGAACATTTGTTTTAATTCAACTGTTATTTCTGGACTGTGAAAGGCTATTCCTAACCTTTTGAGATTGACAAGACGTACACTAACCCTCTTTCTACCCCGTTGAAAAATGGGTGTGAGCTCAACTGAACGTAGATTCAACTAGTTTAAGTAAACTAACAACGGCTGTGAACTAAATGTAGCTTAACTCGTTCGACTCCACGGTGCATTGTAGTACTTGCGTTTTTTTCAACACTAGTCGACGTTTGAGATGATTCCGAGCATGGCATTTTTGTCTAGCTTTTTTTTAATCCTTATCGTATGATGGAAATCAAACTCATGCAGTCGGATTCGGATCGAAAGCCATTGCGAGAGATTGTTTACATTCAGTTAGAGGGGGGAGATTCATTCATGGACCAGTTCTGTTGTTTTGTACTGTATCCTGTATTCTTAACCAGCGTGTGAGGGCTTGACGGTCGGATGAGCGAAAGGAACCAAAAGTTTTTGATATGTGAAAAATATAAATGTGAGCAGCATTGTGTCACAAAGCGAGGAGGATTTCGAATGTGAACTCTGGACTCGACATGCTCAGTTCTTTGTCTTGCTGTGGTGGATGATGAACCGAGAAATGAGCGGCGCTGGTAGTTTGGCTTACCTGTGCCTGGTAAAGCAGCATGTGAGCAAGTGGAGAGTTCTTCCATGTGCCTGAGGAAGATGAGCCTTGTGCAATATGGCTGCCATTGCTCCATACAGACCAGTGGAGGACTTTTTGTTGATCCTTATTATTATAATATATTATATGTGAATACTAATAACGAAAAAAAAAATGCAAAAAGCACATTCTTCTTCGCATTTAATCCCGCTACGATACCAGCTAATATTTTGCAACAATTTTGAGAAAACCTTGGAAGAAAAACAAAAGAAAAAAAGAGACTTTTTTTGCTAAGATTCTGTATTTTACAAAGTACTTCGGATGTTTTCTACAATACTTTTTTGGCGATGAGTTTCGGGGGCTGTTCGTTGGACCCTTTTCACGTTTCACCTTCTGTGGCATTTGCTCGGTCATTTATTATTTTTTTGTCTGGTTTGGATTTTTGCATATTATGTCTGTATTATTTCCTCTTGAGAAGTATTTATTTTAAGGCGCCATAATCTGAGCTTGACAGGAAAATGGTGCAGATGTTTTTATATGTTAATTTGATGATTGCTTGTCAAATATCACTTGAAATAAAATAATGTCTACAAGTTGGGCTCTGATCTGGTGTGTCGTCGCTAACATTTTGCTGGAAAACAGGGACAAAATGGAGTTAAACAATCTATTTGAGAGTCTACTAGGGCTGTAACAAGTCACTGTAAAGCTGCGGTCACACTGCACTTTTCTCCCTATAGACTTCTATTCATACGCATGTGAATGCGTCAAACTGGAAACGCAAGCTTGTGCGATAAGTTTCACAGTTCGCTGCGTTGCAAGGTTCAAGCTTGGTGAACTCTGACCTGCGAAATCGCATCACTTGACTGCGTGAGACCAATCAAGGATCAAAACATGACCTCTCTGGTCAGGAATTTAAAATATGGACCAATCACTAACTTTATTAAATTTCTTATCATCTTGTTTAATCCCACCCCTTTTTGCAGCTCCATACTAGAGTTTTACAAGCTCAAACATAGTGTGACCGCAGCTTTATTCAATTGAAAATCTATTTAAATTTGTGACTATTTAAACCGGTACAAATGTTGACTGAATTGCGATACATGTTTTGTACAGAGGGAGTGCTGTTTACCAGCAACTTGCTTTACCTGAACATCAGCAGCAGTGTTGCCAGCGACTTTGTCAATTTTCAAAAAGGCAACTAGCGGCTAATCTAGCGTCTTTTTGTGTTACTGGAGACTTTTATAAACTCTCATGTGTACTGTAGCATTCCTACTCGAGCTGCAGCTGATGCCGTCGGCCCCTCCCCCGCCTCAGAGCACTCAAACCTCTTTCATTCGACTCACATTGGCAAAGCAACAAGCGACCGTTCATTTCAACAGAAAACGCAAGCGACAGTGACAGTTGGCGATCAGGTGGGCATGTCGAGCACTGCGAAGTTGAGAACCCTTTAACTGTCTAATGCAAATGAAGAGCGAATTTCTTGCGCGACCAATAGGAACACCATTAGAGATCGCGTGATCATCTCTCAGAGGCCGGTTGTATTCATGCTGTATATACCTACACACCCCTGCATTTGAAGCAGGCCTCCAGCCAGAGCGACAGGCAGCTACAAAGTCACTGCTAGTCTGAATTAGGCATCACAGGCGGCCCAGTCCTTGTTCAGCAGTCTCTCCTATACCTGCAGCCTGAGAGCAGATCACTCATCTGCATACCAACAGCAAATGATTTAGCACCGCGAGCGCGAGGTGTCAAACTGATCTGTTTCTCTTTTATTTCAACAATTTATTTTGACCGTTTTTTCTTTACTTATTCACAATCACAGATATTTTAGTGACAGTTTTGGAACTTGTCTGAGGTTATTACGCCTGAGAGATTACTGCAAATTAACTACACATCTATAATAATATACTGTATTCAAGCAACAATAAATTTAGTTCAATTGCCATGCATACATAAAGCATAGTGCAAATATAAGTACCTCTTTATTAACCATAGGCTGTTAAACAAACAGAAATGGTTGGATGTGATGACGTCAGCAGGGCTTAATTTGTGACGGAACAAGTCGGATCCGGATTCAGTACCTATGGAATCTGATGTGGCACCTCATTGTACTGATCCCATTACCCACCACTTCCTGGCAAGCTATTAATAGGTCAAACCATGCTGATCAGAGGATTGGCAGCTCTGCTTTTTCCGACCAGTGTTAATGCTACGGAGATCACATGGTGCATCAGTGTTTTCATAGCGAAAGTGTAAAGATGTACTTCAGACTAAAAGAAAAAGCTTTGCTGTTACAGAACCAGGTATTAGATTGTTTCGTTTTTACCCTCTCTTTTCAAATTTAGTTTATGCATAATTTAATAATTTGCTTATTATATTCTATATTATAATTAGTATTTTATGCCTGTGGCCAGTCCCGTAAAGCAGAGGGCCCATTGACTACCTCTATACACATTGCTCTCTGGTATAGGAAAGGCCTTTCTCTTCACATTAGCCATTTCAGTCCCCAGTGATTTTTTTATTTATTTTTTTTCATGAGCAGGGCACATTGTAAATGTGCAAAGAGCTCAGCTTATAACAGAAATTCTGATATTTCTTTTTAAAAAATGTTTAATCCCAGCACAGTTGTAGTTTGTATAAAAGAGATTCTTTTATTTTGTTTTGTTCATTTTTGATTTGGAATTGGTTCTAAATTTGTAATGTATCTGATCAGTCAAAGTTTTAGTTTGTTTATATTAAAGAATCTTATTTAGTTTGTATTATTATTTCCTTTTTTATATGGATTCTGTTTAAAAATTCCAATTTAGTAAGTACAGAAAAGATTTTATATAAAAATTATATATATATATATATATATATATATATATATATATATATATATATATATATATATATATATATAAATATTTGAGAAAAATATGAAAGGGCTCTTGTTCACCCTAAATTTATCTCAAATAATTTTGTGTAAAAAAAAATCATGACTAAATCATAAATTGTGAGTTTAGTATTGGGATTCTTATTGAATCGTGAGTAAGGATAGGGCTGAGCAATTTGGCCTAAAATCTCAATTAAATGAAATTTAAATTTAAATTAAATAAAATTTTAATTAAATTAAATTTTATTTTAACTCGATTACGATAAATGAATGATTATTTGATTTATTTTTTTGCCTCTCTACCAATTTCCTTTACGGGTTTTTTTCTGAATGCTACTTTAATGTACAAGAAGCTAACTAGCACATTTAGAGGCGGGAACCGGCAGATGTGCAACAACTTCAATCAATAGGTAAACACTTTCAACTGCAGCTCAGATTGGATCTGATTTTTCCGCATATGGAGATGATCCGAACTCCACGCCGCTCCCGGACTACTCTCCATTGGAAATTGAATGTTTTCCGGTCTGCCGCTTTCGTTTGTTGTATGCAGTGGAAAGGCGGCTTAAATCAGCCTTAACAGAGCGAGGTCTCTTGACTCCACATGCGGTAGGGAAAGTAATAGAAAAATTGACCTGGAAAAAATTGATCGATTATAGGTTCTGAATGTTGATTTCCATCACTTTTTGGTTTATTGCCCAGTCAGGTGAATTGTTTCATCCCTAGACTCTACAATTAAAACCAAATTTAAAAAATAATGAAATCATCTGAGAGATTTAAATTAGTCACAAAACCCTGGGTTTTTGTTGATTGCAGCTTGTCTGCAGGTTCTTAAAAAGTCTTAAATGTCAAAATCTAAATTTTAGGCCTTAAAAAGTCTTAAATTTACTGAATTGTTGTGTTGAAAGTCTTAAATCTTTTTTTAAACGGGTTTTAATTATCTTTTGTTCATGTATTGCTACCCAATCTGGCCAACACCCTTACAACCACCAACAATCCATCTCAATAAAACTTTAAAATGTTATTTAAAAAGGTCATTTTAACTCTATTTACCATAATAGTTTAATTATTGTCCTTACAGTAACATTTGCGAACCCCCTTGCAATCTCCAGCTATTGATCTGCTTGACAGACATGCTGGATTGACCTGATTTGTTGACAAATAGTTGTGGATCCATTCCTTGGCAGTTTGTGGGTCTTTTCCCCTTTGCAAAGAAACTTTCCAAAGACATCAGTTTCTTAGTCATTTTGCTGCTTGTGGATTAAATTTGGATGCTCAAATGATCAAAATGTAAGCGAGAGAATACGGTGATTTTTTAAAAATAATAGATCATTCCGACTCTGATAATGAATAAAATGAAAATAATTAATGATTTCCTGTGCAGCCTGTACTGTTCTGTGGCCCGGTGGTTGAGGACCACTGGTCTAAAATTCCTAAAAATATCATTAAAGTCTTAAATTTAACTTGGTGAAACCTGCAGAGACCCTGTCATTTTGTGCTCAGCCATGGACTGAATTTTGTGCTTTACATATTTATTGTGAATCTCTATGTGCAAAACGATGCTGAATTTTAAGCTCTATGATCTCAATCTAATGCTGCAAATTGACATTTTTATTCATTTTCACAATTTGCTTCAATCATAGTTGCTCAGTTTACCTGAGCAGGGGCATAAGTTTGCCCTATTACTTTTCATTTGTGCAGTTTTGGTCATTTTGGTGGCATCTTCGCTTCAAGCTGCATAAATCTCATTCACAAATATTGAATTTTGTGTAAAAGTAAATTGTACTAAGTGTAAAACTGATTTATTAAAGCAAATGAGAGGAAAGTATTTACATTAAAATTTTAAAATGTATGCTGTTTCCAGTAATAGCCAAAGTATTTTTAAGCAAAATTGTCCATAAGGATGCATGAAGTTTGTAATAACTTTGAAAAAAAGTTATACAATGACTTGCCTAATTACTCTTACCTGCCCAGTTAACATAAACAACCTAGGCAAGGCAAGGTAAGTTTATTTATATAGCACATTTCATACACAATGGCAAAAGTGCTTTACATAAACAAGAATAAAATAAACAAGTAAAATAAAAATAAAAACAAATAATAAAAATGCATAAAAACAAAACAAAACATAAAAACAGGTAAAATGAAGAAGAGAAAAACATGATAGTGCGATCTGTCGGACGCAGCACAGTGCTCATTCAGTAAAGGCACAGCTAAACAGATGTGTTTTCAGTCTTGATTTGAATGTGCCTAATGTTGGAGCACATCTGATCATTTCTGGAAGCTGATTCCAGCAGCGAGGGGCATAGTGGCTGAAGGCAGATTCACCCTGCTTTTACTGGACTCTTGGAACTTCTAGTTTATATGATCCTAAAGATCTGAGTGATCTGTTAGGTTTGTATTCAGTGAGCATATCTGTGATGTATTTAGGTCCTAGGCCATTTAGTGATTTATAGACCAGAAATAATACTTTAAAATCTATTCTGAATGTAACTGGCAAATACTTAACCAAATACTTACTGGCAAATACTTAATTGGCAAATACTTAACCTAGTTAAGTATTTAAATGTAACTTTAAGCTATATAGAAGTGTCTTGAAAAATATCTAGTCAAATATTATTTACTGTCATCATGGCAAAGATAGATAAAATCAGTTATTAATAATGATTTATTAAAACTATTATGTTTAGAAATGTGCTGATAAAATCTTCTCTCTCTTAA